CATAGTGGGCCTACACTGTGATTGTTTTTGCAGACAGTAGGCTACTCTCATTGGAATACTGGGAATTGAGCATAGTGTCCTGAACACTAGTTTAACAAGTAAAGTGATACCTCAAGCTATTCCCTCTTAAACGTTGCAAAGCATTTCCACTGAAAGAGAAAGAATGATTTAAAAAATCAAACAAATGACTAAGTCATAGATGCACAGGTTCCCAACATTCAAACACAAGAAACATGAAAAATTAAGGCAACGTGACTCATCCAAAAATGACTGATCTCACAGTAAAGGCCTCCAGTGAGAATGAATTAGGTGAAATCCCAGACAAAGAATTCATAAGAATGATTTTAAAGAAGGCAGAGGACACAAACTCCTGAATGAATTCCAAGAAAACACAAACAGATGAATGAAATAAGAAAGTTAATACAAGATAAGAAAGTAGAGTCCAATAAAAAGAAATACCAAAAAAAAAAAAAAAAAAAAAGCCAAAAGGTTTGGTGGTGCATGCCTTTAATTCCAGCACTCAGAAGCAGAGGCAGGTAGATTTCTGTGAGATGGAAGCCAGCCTGATCTCATTCCGAGTTCCAGGCCAGCTGGGGCTATGGGAAGACCCTGCCTCAAAAAACAACAGCAACAAAGAAACAAAAGTGAAATGCTAAAAATGAAAAATTCAGTAAGTCAAATGCAAATCTTTATGAAGAGCTTCACCAATAGAGTGGAGATCGAGGAGAAAGCAGAATATCAGGTTTGAAGACAAGGGGAAGTAAAATAACCTAATGAGCAAGAATAAACAGAACATCCTAGAAATGCAGGACACTATGAGAAGGCCAGATTCAAGAATCACAGGCATAGAAGAAGCAGACCTATAACAAAGGCATAGAACACATTTTCAATAAAACCAAGCCAAGATTTTTTAAAATGGGCTTTAAAAATACTCTTTTCAATGTATATTTTTATTGAATTTCTATGCATTTCATACAATACATCTTAATTGTATTTAGACCCCCTTCCCTATCTGCACCTTCCATAGCCCTATCAGATTTCAGGCATTCTGTCATATATGTTAAGGCCTAATGAGTCATGTTTGTGCCTAGATGTCCCTCTGTGTAAGTTCATCCACTGGAGTCTGGTCAGCCTATCTGGCATCATTCCCTTAAAGAAGACCAATTATTCCCTCACCCAGCAGTAACCAGCTGCTAATAGTTCCTCAGGTGGGGTTGGGGCTTCTTATCCATTCTCCAATTTCTATGCTGGGTTTTTGATTGGTTTCAGTTTGCATGGGTCTTGTGCACGTTGTCACCATTGCTGTAAGTTCATATGAGTAAGTTTCCAGAAGCCTGGAAAACTCTGTCTTCTTGTGGTTATCTACCACCCCTGGCTCTTGCAGTCTTTCCGCCCTCTATTCTGAAATGGTCTCTGAGTCCTGGGTAACTGAAGTTTAATATAGGAGTCCTATCCAGGGACACACATACACACACTGCAGTCTCGTATTCTCCACATTTTGGCCAGTTGTGGCTTTAAGTGTTATCTGTTGAATGAGGAAATTTTGCTGGTGAGACTTGAGAGATGTATTAGTTCTGTTCTACCCCTTGTTCCACTATGCTCCATGAGTGTTAGATGTAGAGGTTTCATTAGAGATGTGTCACTTAGGGCTGTGCGTCTAACAGACACTCTCTGTGTTTGATCAGTTGTGGAACTCTGTAATAGTCTCTATCTATTGCAATAAGAAGCTTCTTTAATAAGTGATGAGAGGTGTATTTGTTAGGGTAGTCTGGAAGTCTCAAGCGGGAAGAGTCGGGGAGCTAGGCCCAAGGTGGGGGTGGGGACACCATGGGGAGGGTCTAACTAGCTAGGCAGAGTAGGAGTGAGCCTTCGAGCAGGAGAATGTAGCTGGTCCCTGTACAGGGAGTTCAAGATGCAGTGGGCAGGGTCTCAAAGGGGAAGAGCAGGAGGGAGCCTAGGTCTAAGGCGGAATGGGGACAGGGTGGGGAGGATCTAACTAGCTAAGCTGAGTAGGTGTGGGCCTTAGAACAGGAGAATGTCCAGAGCCAAGATCTTGAAAAATATATGTATATATGTCATTTAAAACACCAAACAGAAAAGATCAGAACTTCCTTACATCACATTTAGTTAGAGTAGTAATTATACAGATAAGGAAAGTACATTGAAGGCTGTAAATGAAAAACAAGTCACATATAAAGAAAGGCATGTCAGAATATCAGCTGATAATAGAACAAATACTTTATTTTTTTAGATTTTTATGCATGCATACCATGTATTTTCATTATATTCACTCCTCTCCCTCTCCACTACTACCGTGTCTCCCCACATCATCCTCTCAAATCCATGTCCTCTATCTATCTATCTGGACAGACATCTGTAGATAGCTAGGTAGGTAGGTAGGTAGACAGATGATTGATAGATGATAGATAGATGATAGATGATAAATATCAAAAGAGGTCTCCAATTAATTGCCCATATTTACTAGGGTATAGGCTGACTATTTGGGCATGGGCAGCCTATCAGGGGACCTCCCCTGAAGAAAACAAACACTCCCTTCCACAGCAGTCATCAACTACCTGGAAGTCTTCAACTAAGCCTGGGGCTTTATGTACCTTTCCCCATTCATCCATGCTGGAATGTTGACTAGCATGGCCGTCTGCAGGTCTTGGGCAGTGTTTTGGGGACTTCATAGGTACAACTTCCTGTCTTGTCCAGAAGACACTATTTTGTAGCAATTCTCCAGCCTTCTGACTCTTACAATTCTTCTGCTCCTTCTTGATGCTCCCTGAGCCTTGGGTATAAGGGTTGTGTTTTAAATGTGCTGTATGGGGATGGACACTCTGCAGTCATTCATTCTCTGCACCTTGACCAGTTGTGGTTCTCTGTAATAGCCTCTGTCTACTACATAAAGAAGGTTCTTTGATAAGAAATGATAGCTGCATTTATCTGTGGGTATAAAGATAAGTATTTACAGGGCAGTTGGATACTATATCATTTTAGCATCTACGGTCTATGATCTCTCCTGCTGTGAGGTTTACAATATGAGGCATGCATTTCCTCTTCCTGAGCAGGTCTTAAGTTTAATCAGACTGCTGTTGGTTACCCCCAAGCTATTAGTGTCACAATTGCACTCATGGGCATATCTCGCCAGTCATTATTGTAGTTCATTGGCTCTACAGCTGGGTAGGACTATTGATACCCCCCCTCAGCAGCTTGCATAACACCTTATAACACTATGAGAGCTGGCTGTCAGGGAGGATGCTTCCAGGTCAGTACCAGCTTAATTTCTCCAAGTCCTATGACTGAAATGTGTGGTGTCCTCAGCAATAGGGCCCTACTTTCAAGTTCTGACAGGCAACCAAGAGCAACGGCAATAGCTTGTATTATATGGGGGTGGTGGTGGGAGGTTGTATTCCCTAACTAGCAATTTGAAGGGAGGTATCCCTCACCTGGCATTGGACTTTTTCTTTGATAGTTAATGGTTTCTGGTGGTGGTGGTGGTCCCCCTATGTGGGGTAACTCCAATTGAATGATACATAGAAAAATTTAAAGCTGAGAAGGCCTGGAATGAAGTATTTCAAACTCTGAAAGACAACACTGGCCAGTGTGGATTTCTAAGCACAGCAAAACCATCACAACTGAAGGAGAAAGAAAATTTTCCATGATAAATCAGGCTAGAGGAATTCATGAACGTTGAGCCAACTCTACAGAAGATACTTGAAGATATCTTCTGAACTGAAGAGAAAGATAAACATATTTATGAGGCTACAAGAAAAAAAACTGTATTAGAACAGTAGTTAAGCAAATGAGATATGAGAAAACACCAAAAAGTACAAAATCAACAAAATGACAGGAATTCGTAACACCTTTCAATAATAACTCTGAATATTAAGGTCTAAAGTCCCCAAACAAATGGCATATGCTATTAAACTAGATTTACAAACAGGACCTATCTATTTGTTGTCTTCAACAGTACCCTTCCCCATCAAAGACAGATGCAAACTTAAAGGTGAACAAATGAAAGAATGTTATTCCAAGCAAATGTAACTGGAAAACAAGCAGGTATAAGTGTTTTAATATCCAACAAAATAGACTTCAAATAGACTAGCCAAAATTAGAAGAGAAAAATGTCACTTCATATATACTAACGGAAAAATCCATTAAGATGACATTATAATTTTAAGCATTTATGAATCTGATATGGTGTATCTAATTTCATAAAACATACTATTAGATGTAAACACAGAGATTAATCCCAATACAATAATACCGAGTTTCTTAAATAACCCATTCTCACTGTAGAAAGATAGTTTCAACAAAACGAGGACATCTGAGTTAAATGGTGTCATAGATCAAATGGACCTAATAGACCTCTACAGAGTATTCTATCCAAACATTTCAGAATACACATTCTTCTCAGGATCCCATGGAACTTTTTAAAAAATAGATCATATATTAAGACATAAAGCAAATCTTAACAAATGTAGGACAATTGAAATAATTTCTCGTATTCTACATGACCACAGTGGAATAAAACTACAGCTCAACAGCAAGAGAAATTACAGAACATACACAAAATCATATTGGACAACATGTTATTGAATGATGAATGTTGTTTCAAAGACATCATAAAGGAAATAGGAGACTAAAAGTCAGAAAGCATGAGATGTTATATGCAAGGCCTGGAAGTAAAGGACTGTCAACCAAGATTGCTATACAAATATTTTATTGCAAATATTTTATTGAGAAATTTGCACCTATGTTAATCAAAGAAATTGATCTGTAGTTTTATTTTTTTGTGTTGTCTTTACCTGATTTTGGTATCAGAATAATACTGATTTCACAGAATGCATTTGGTAGTGTTCCTTCGCTTTCTATTTTCTGGAACAAGTTAAGCAGAATTGGTATGAGGTCTTCCTTGAAAAGTCTGATGGAATTCAGTGGTGAGTCTGTCCTGTCCTGGGCATTTCTTTGAGGTAAGATCTTATTGTTTTGTTTTTGCTTGTTGGGGCCTGGGTTTCACCCTCCCACACTGTGGCAGCAGGAGGTGAGCTGAGGCCCCTGGTGGCTCTGGGCACTGAATCTCAACCCATGCCTCGACCAAGGAGGTAAGATTTTTGTTACAGCTTCTATTTCATTGCTTTCAATGGGTCTGTTTAAATTTATTTGTAGCTTCTGGTTTTACTTTTGGTAGATGGTAATGCATTTAGAAGTTCTTCTATTCAAAGTTTTCTGGTTTTTTAGAGTATAGCGTTAATGCTGATCTCTAATAATGTTCTGTATCTCATTAGCATCTGTTGTAATGGCACATTTTTGATCTTTAATTTTGTAAATTTGTGTCTTCCTATTTATTTCTTTTTGATATATTGGCTAAGGGTTGTCAATTTTGTTTACTTTTTCAAAGAACTAACTCCTTGGTTAATTTTATGTATTGTTCTTTTAGTTAATTTATTCTCTAATTTTTACATTAAAATATTTTATTTATTTTTAAATAAAATATTGCTTGCATATATGTAAGTACCCCAGTGTCTTGCAATGCCCACAGAGATCAGAACAGGGTATTGAATCCCCTGGAGCTGGATTTAGGATAGTTGTTTGTTAGCTACCATGTGGGTTCTAGGAATACAACCTGAGTCCTCAGCAAGAGCAGCCAGTGCTCTTAACCACTGAGCCACCTCTCTAGCCCCCTTAATCTTTGTATTTCTTGCCATCTACTAGGACTGGGATTAGTTGCTTGCTGTTTTTTGAGAGCCTTGAGATGCATCGTAGGGTTGTTTATTTGATGTCTCTTGGATTTTTTAATGTGAGCACTTACTGCTATGAACTTTCTTCTCAGGACTACCTTGGCTGCATCCCAGTGGTTCTCATAGGTTGTTTTTTCATTATCATTTGTCTCTAGGAATTTTTAACTTTCATCTTTGATTTCTTGGATGATCCATTGTTCATTCAAAATGTATTGTTTAGTCCCCAAGTATTTTTTGTGGTTTCTGTGGTTTCTCTTGTTTAATTTCTACTTTTATTTCATTGTGGTCTAATAAAGTACAAGGAATTATCTCAATTTTTTTTGTGTTTGTTGAGACTTGTTTTGTGTCCTATGATATGATCGATTTTGGGAAAGGTTCTATGTGCTGTTGAGGAAAAAAATGTGTGCTTATGTGTATTGTCTATCTGTTGGGTGGGATATTCTACATGTTTAGTTAAGTGAATTTGATCCGTAGTGTTTTTTAATTCTAACTTTTCATTACTTGATTTTAGTTTAAAAGATCTATCTACAACTAAGAGTTGAGTATTAAAGTTCCCCACTATTATTGTGTCAGGACCTATATGGCCTTTTATACCCTTTAGTGTTTGTTTTACAAAATTAGGGGCTCCAATATTCACTATATAAATGTTTGCTATTGTTTTATCTTCTTCATGAATTGTTCCTGTTATTAATATGTATTGCCCTTTTTTTATCTGTTTTAATTAGTTTTGGGATAAAGTCTGTTTTATCTGATGTAAGGATCCTATGCTTGCTTTTTTATGGTTTCTATTTCCTTGATAGTTTGTTTTGAATCCTTCAATGTTGAGTGTTGTTTTTTTTTAAAATCTTTGCTGACTAGGTGTGTTTCTTAGAGAACTTGGTCGGTTCTTGTTTTTAATCCAGTCCATTTGTCTATGTCTTTTTAGTGATGAGTTGAGGCCATTTACATGTAAGGTTATAGAAAGGGGTTTTCTGTGAATTCTTTTTTTTTTGGTGGTTTTCTGTTTCACTTAATTATTTGCATTTCTTTTCCTTTTCTCATGTTAGTCACAAGGGTTTGCTGAGTTGCTGTGTTTAACATATGTGTTTCTCTCCTAGGTCTAGTTTATTTATCTGTTCTTTTCATGGAGTGCATACTTTGATACATTCCTGAGGAAGAGGTTCTCTTTCTTCTTCCCACCTATAAAGTTTACCATTAAGAATTTTCTGAAGTGCTGGCTTGATTGTCATGAATCATCTTAGTCTGTGTCTGTCTTGAAATACCCTTATTTCTCCATTCTTTTTAATAGATAACTTGCAGGGTACAACATTCCTGGTTCACAGTTATTTGCTGTCAGAGCTTGACATATTTCACTTCATGCTCTTCTGGATTTTATGGTTGCTGATGAAAAGCCTGTGGTGATTCTGATATTTCTGCCTTTATATCCAACTTGATGTTTTTATTGTTCTCCTCTTAGGATTATTTTTTACTTTGTATTTTTTTGACATTCTGACTATGTTGTATTGTTGGCAGTTTCTTCTCTGGTCATGTCTATTTGGTGTTCTATACACCTCTTGTATCTGGATGTCTACTTCTTTTATTAGGTTTGGGAAATTTTCTATAATTTTGTTAAATATTCTGTCAATTGCATTTGATTTCATCTCTGCTCCTTCTTCTACACCATGAATTATCAGGTTTGGCCTCTTGAATATATCCCAGACTTCTTGGAAAATTTGCTCATGTTCCTTAATTTTTTTCCCTTAAGTATGTCAGTTTGTATGAAGGCCTCAACTTTGTCCACTATCCCTGTAATTTGTTTTACTGCATGGTCTTATCCGTTAATGATGGTGTTTGTTATGGCTTTATTTAACTGGCCATCCCCTTCATTTCAAGCATTTCTGTTTGATTTAATTTTAATATTTCAATCTCCTTGATGAAGTTTTCCCTCATATTTTGGATTTTTGCCTCCAGTTTACTGACCATTTCATTCACTGTGGAGAGTGTCTTGTGTCTTGGAGGATTTCCTAAGTTTGTGCATCTGTTTGTTGGATTCTTCTGTATGGTCATTTATTCTCAGAAAATTCAGCTATCTCAATAGCTTTGAATTCCCTTACCCAGGACTTTATCAGCTGGGGGATGAGTCAGAGGTAGTGGTTGTGTCATATTTTTTGTGTTTCTTTGTCATATATTGTGCATCAGTTAGACTGATAATTTGAATGTTTTGTTTTCTGTGACTCTTCCTAGAGGAATATCTGCTTGGGGTTTAGCCACAGGGACTGGTGAAACTCAGTGTTCGTTGACTAATGGAATCACAGAGGCGAGCCCATCTTGGCTGTATGCCAACAGGACCAAGGGTGGGGCCAAATCCCAAGGTATCTAGACAGACACAAAATCTAGTCACACTCTAAACTCTGTGAATTGACTGGGGGCAGGAAACCAAATGTCAGACCCATTAATGTCTATGTGGTAACTTGAGGCTATGGTTAATGCTACAGGCCTGAAGTAACCTCTGGGACCACAGCTGTATAACTGTCAGTCCTGCAGTGACCACTGAAACCTTGGAAGCTGTGCTGGACAGCTTTAGTCGTCAACTTTGTGGCTGGATAGGATACAAAACAATATTTCTCAATTTTTTTGAGAAATCAGTCGTCAACTGGGTAGAGGGAGCCTCAAATGGGGAATTTCCTCCATTGGAGGACATGTCTGTGAGGCATCTTTTTGATTATTGAGTGATGTGGGAGGGCTCAGCCCATGGTAGGTGGTGCCACCCCTGGACCGGTAGGCCTATGCTGTATAAGAAAGCAGGCTGAGTAGGGGCCAGGAGAGCAAGCTAGTAAGCAGTCAGTGTTCCTCCACGTCCTGTGCTTCAGCTCCTGCCTCCAGGTTCCTGCCCTGAGTTCCAACTGTGGGCTCCCTCGGTAATGAGCTGTGACCCAGGAGATGTAAGCCAAATAAACCCTTTCCTCCCAAGTTGGTATTGGTCAGAGTGTTTTGTCACAGCAGTGGAGGAACAAACTAGAACAGAAGCCTAAACTCCACACCTACACTGCTTTTAAGACACTACTTACACCAAACCCTGGTCTTTTGGTGGACTCTGGGAGCACTAGACCCAATGTTCCAGTGCCCCACTAATTTCTTAGCCCATTGGGGCTGGATGTCTCTTCCCATGGTGCTCCCAGGACCCTCTGAATCTGAAAGTCTGATCCCAAGATGCTCCCTGGACCTGCTGGAGCAGAAGGCCTCCTCTAGCAGCACTCTGTGGTCCTACAGGTGCCAGCAGCTAGTCTTATGTGCTGTCTAGATCCACTGGAGCCACAAGCCTGACACACTGAGCTTCCTGTTCCCTCTAAAGCTAGGGGATCCGGTCTCACTAAGCTCCCTGGTGCCATAAGAAGCCAATAGCAAAATATCCCTTGTGAAGTCATAATGCTACATTGTGACATTTTAACGTCCATTATCACATCAAAATTGATCATTGTAACTATGTAATGTTCCATTGAGACAACTTAGTGCCCCATTGTGACATCAAAATGCCCTATTATAACAGCATAATTCTCCATTGTGGCATCACAAATAATGACACCACAGTGCTCCATTATTATACCATAATCCTTCATTTGACATCACAATGTGCAATTGTGGTATAACAGTTCTCCATAATGACATAAATGCAATTTGTATATCACAATGCCCCATTATGAGATTAAATTTCTCTATTGTGACATTATAATGCTCCATTGTGACATCACAATGCCTCATTAAGCTGTCACATTCCCCATTGAGCATGTCCCATGTGACATCACAATTCCTCACTGAGGCAACATAATGCCCCATTGTCACATCTCAATGCCCATAACAACATCAAAATTTTCTGTTGTGACAGCACAATGCCCAGTTGTGACATCATGATTCCTCACTGTGATATTGCGATGTTCTATTATGAAACTATAATTCTCTATGTGATATCATAATACTCCATTTTTACATCACGATGTCCCATTGAGACATCACAATTCCCCATTGTGACAACACATGCTCCATTGTAATAGCACAATACCCCATTGTGACATCTAAGCCACCATTATGAAATCACAGTTTTCCATTGTGACTACACAGTGCCCCCTGTGACATTGTAATTACTCATAGTGAAATAAAAATGCCCCATTAAGTCATCTATAGAACATTCCATCCAAACACCAAAGAATATACTTTCTTCTCAGCAGCCCATGAAACTGTCTCAAAAATTGACCACGTATCAGGACACTAAGTTTCCACAAATTTACGAAAATTGAAATATTGTTTTGTATTCTATCCAACCACAAAGGAATAAAGCTAGATATCAAGAACAATAAAAATGGGAAAAAGTACAGAAATTCATGGAAGCTAAATAACACATTATTGA